CTAAACTTGGCTCACGTCCCCTCTCTCTTTGCACTGATCCTCCCCAATTCAGCCCCAGGTTGAGGACGTTGGCACATCAGGGTGGTGACAAGAGACACAAGGCTCAGCCCCGGGCTCCCCACACTATTGCACTCATCCCTGCATGCCTTGGCATGGCTGGGTGCCCTCCCAAGCCACCCTTGTCCCCATGGGAGCCTTGTCTCTGCCACAGTGCCACGGCCCAGGGCCACCCCATCCTGGGGCCAGGGACCATATCTGGCTTGCAGGAAGCTGGACACCAGGGTGGCTTTTGAACAGTCCCAGCACTGGCAGGGGCTCCTACTGCAAGCTGCAGTGCCTGCCACAGCCCCACGAGAGCCGCTCACTGGAGACCTCCAGCCCCAGCCCTTCCTTGTCCCGGGCCATTAATTGCCAACAAAAGGTAATGACCAGCACTGGGCAAAAGCACCCACCACACACCCACACCTGCTGGGGTTCCCACATGCAGACCCCACGCCAGTATCACCAGTCCTCCACCACCAGCGCCCAGCCCATCCTCAGGACATCATGGCTACCGCTTCGCTGCTGACTCACAGCACCAGCCCATCCGCAACTGCGCAGCCCTCATGGCACCGCCATTGCCTGTACCCCAGCCCCACCATGTGTCCCTGGGGCCAACCTGGGCCATTGTCACCGCAGTGGGACCCGGGGATGCCAGCACGGCTGCAGCAGGGCTGGGTGCTGGGTAGGTGGGGTGGGCAGGACAGGGCTCACTGGCTGCTCTGCTCCTGCCGCTGTGGTTCCCCCCTCTTCCTTTACCTCTCCCTCTCCTTCCTTGAGCACTCACCAGCACCAGTGCCCAGAGCCAGGACCCGCAGCTGGGCACAGCACCACTGCTCCCTGCCCACAGTCCTGGCATTGCCGTGGGCAAAACAGGGGGGAAATGCCCTTTTTCCAGGGGCCAGACCCTACTGGCAACCCCATATGCTGGGCTCTCCATAGGCAGTGGAGGTCAATGGATGCTGCCAAGCCCCGTGCTGGACCACCCACCCACCAGCCCAGCTCACCCCAGTGCTCCCCCCGCATCCAGCAGGTCCCCTCCACCCCAGCCTCACGCGCGCGATGCTGCTGAAGGGCTCCGGGGATTTCCACCACCCAACCTGCAGCGGCACGTCCTAGGGCTGCTCCCGGTTGAATATTCACCCCAAGGGTCCCAATGCTGGCTTTCCCATCCCTGTCTGGGAGCCTCACCTGGCTCCGTCTGAGAGTCCTGCTGTGTCCGTTTGTCACCGATTTGGCAGCACGGGCAGTGGGAGCTGATTACGCGCTCTCTCTCCTCACCTTGCACCCATACCGCCGGGCCCAGACGGGCTTTTAAAGAGGCTCCCACCCCTCCTTGACGTTCCCAGGGCGTTCCCCAGCTGGGGCTTACCTGGGAAATGGCTCCCCGCGATTGCAACACCCAGACGGGTCGGTGCGAGCACAGACCTGTGGCGGGGTCTGGCTCCCTCCTGGGGGCTGCTCTGCGCATGGCTGTGGCTGTAGGGTGATGGCAGGTGTTTGGGGACCACCCTAAAAGACCCCGCTGTCTGGAAGGGGTGGTAGGCTCCCAGCAGTGGTGGTTTACCAGGCATAGTGCAACTCCAGCCTGATCCCAGGGTTTGCAAACTCACTGCCACCCAGCCATGCACTGGCCAAAAGACCAGCTCCTCTGTCCCATAGTGCATCCCCGCCACCCACCCCGCTCCAAACCGCCCCATGCACCGACTGCTGGTGAGGCCAGCCAGTCAGGTCCAGTGTGGCACAGGAGCTGCCCTGCAAGGTGAGGGGGCATTGTTTATTTGAACCAAAACCACTTGTTCTCAAGGGTGAAAGGGGCTGGTGCAGGTCTCTGGGGCCTTGGAAGCAGAAGCACCAACTCCAAGCAGGGTTTTATCCAGCTCTCAGCCATCTCTAGATGCGCTGGGACAGATAAGGCTCTTCTCAGCTGGTAGCTGTTCTTGTAAAGTCACATCCGTAATTAATTGACCCAGCAAATTGTACCCCTGTATGTCTACCAGAGCAATGGTGCGGCGATTTGATGCCAAGATTAGATACGGGCATTATTGGGAGCTGCATATTTAAGGATGCAAAGTAGGAGGTGATGTATTACAGGCAGGAGCCACCTGCTCAGAGGACCTTTGGGACTCCTATCCCGGAAAAAACGATGTGTGTCATCCCAGCTCTCCACTGGTTTCTTCCTAATCTCGGTTGGGAGGAAGCACACCCGTTCTTGGCCAAGATGCTCCGGTGTCGTTGATGCAACATCCCAGGAGGGTGGGAAACCCTCCCTGACCCTGCAGGCAAACAGCTCACCTCTGAATCATGGGCCTTCATTACTCTCCTGTGCCTGGCAGATGTCACAACCACATCCAGGCCCTTATTTTTACAAGGCATCCAGGGTGGGTGTGTGTGCATGTGCTCAGAGCAGCCACGTACCATCCAAACCCATCACAAAACAGTTCCCAGCCAGTGTGATTGCCCCGATGAGGTTGGTCTCTCCCCTGGTCCCCACCAGCTCTGGGTCTCAAGGGTCGGGAGCAGTTTATCTTCTCATGGATAAGCTCTGCTGCATGGGACCCTTTGCAGAGGGGGGACACTGAGCCCCGGCTTTGGGGGTCTTTGGTGACCACTGTGATGGGTACCCTGGAGCCACCACTCCTGCACACAGTGGCCACCCTGGTATAGACAAATGCATCTCTCAGCATTTCCACCAGCGTGGTGCCATGCCCGCGTGGTCAGCGCTGACTCACTGAGGGGCATTGACCGCCCTGGCATGAGCTGAGCTGTTCCTACCACCTCCAAAGACTTTCCAGATACAACAGATACTTATCAAGGATGGCTCACGCCGCAGGAATTGCCGTCCTCCCGACAGCACACCGTCATGCCAGGGAGCTGGTCACCAAACCAGAAATAGGACCCAGGAGTCCCCACTCCTACAGCACATTCCCAGCCTGGTGTTGGGAAAAAGATCCAGGAGCCCTGGCTCCCCTTTCCCCCCACCATCACCCCAACCATTTGACACATTTCCTGTCTCTAATTAAATGCACACCACACCTTTCTGCCTAATTTCCATGTATTTATTTCCAAAGCAGGAACAATAAATAGTCATTCTCATTATGAAATCCACCCCAAGGTGAGAGGTGGCCAAGCCACGGTGTCGGTGTTGCTGTGCTGGCCACTGGCCTGAGCGGACCTGCCACCCTGTCCCAGCCTTGGGTTTTATCACATTTCTCTGAGGTTTGGTTTCGTTCATCTATTTTTTTTGCCCGCAGTACAGACCCTCACAAGGTGATGCAGGTGCTGCTGAGGTGCCTGCACCCTCTCCCTTTTTGGGGTCCCCATCCCCATCACACCTCCAGGGCTCCCTATGGGTTCCTCTGGGACATGAAGTTCAGCAGGAATGGCCTGGATGGCAGAGGAAAGGCGGGATAACCAGGCTCAGCAGGTGCCCTGCACCCTCTCAAGCCCATGTCTTTGCCCTCCATGCGCTCGGTGCCTGAGCTAATTGCTCCATCCCAGTAAGCCACCGCTTTGTGGCATTTACTGTTTTCTAATTTGCTGTAATTAGACAGAAATCCCACACTCTCCAGCACAGGTGGGATCTTGCTGCTGACCTCACAGTTCTTGGGTCTTTCAGAGCCCAGGATTTTGGGGTCTCCTCTGAGCTGCATGCCCAAAGCCTTTGGGGTGCCTGGTCCGGAGACACAGCCCTGGGTCTGCTTGTGGGGTCCCCGCAATGGAGACCACAGGGCACAAGCCACCCTGGGAACTGGGCATGTGCACAGCCCCACACACACCCCCAGCACCGTGCACACCCTCAGTGCCATGCACACCCAGAGCACCATGCACACTTGCACTATCCCTTGCACACCTGCACCATCCCTTGCACACATGCAGCATCCCTTGTGCACCCACAGTATCCCTTGCATGCCCACAGGGTCTCTTGCACACCTGCACCATCCCTTGCACACATGCAGCATCCCTTGTGCACCCACAGTATCCCTTGCATGCCCACAGGGTCTCTTGCACCCTCGTGCTCTGCACTGGGACTGTGCAACCCAGCAGTGAGTGATGTTCAGAGCCGCGATTGTTGCAGCCCTGTCCCTCCCTGCACCTCCCCTTTCCCCATCCCATGAAAGACAAATGAGGCCACCCCATCCTGGCTGGGTTTTTTTCCAGTGTTTTCCTTTATTAATTTATACAAAAATGGTTGCAAGTGATGCAAGCTGATAACAACCCGCCACCATCCCAGCCCCGAGCCCAGCTGCCAGCTGGGGGCCAGTGTCCCTGGAGAGGGGCAGGTAGGGGAGCACCATGCAGGCGGCACACCCCAGCATAGCACCCCAAAACCTGGGCAGGCGCAGGACACCACAGTCCCTGCACCAGGGGAAGAACAGGGAATACACTCAGGCCATGCACAGCAATGTCAGTGCTGGCCCGGAGCCTGGGATGCCCCCAAAGGTGCTTGAAGCACGAGGCAGGACTGTGGCAAAGTGGCTCCCATCAGGTGGCAGGGCACAGGGCCGGGAGGACAAGCCCGCACATCCAAGGGCTTTTGGGGGGAAAGGAGCCGAGTCCCTCTCACTGTGATGCTCCAGGGCTGGGGGACCTGCAACCAGAGGGGTTTTGGGGCCAGAGGTGGGACAACCCCGGGGATAAAGGCTCTGAAGCAAAGGACGGAGAAAGGCAGCTCCAGAGCCCAGGCCAGGAACCCCCTTGCCACCTCCCTCCCGCCACAGTACAGGCCAGAGCTGGGGATGGGAAGGGAGGTTTCCTGACAGGAAGGAGAGCTGAGAGAGGGCAGGGATGGAGCCAGGGAAGGGGATCCCTCTGCCCCAGTCAGGGACACGGGGAGGAGACGAGCCCCAGAAGGAGCAACGCTGCATTTTCCCAGGCGCATCCCACCAGGACCAGCAGCCTCTCGCGCTTCTCGGTGCAGAGCCTGAGGCCTCGGGCACCTTCCCGTCCCCCACCGCCCTCTACTTCCTCCGGCAGCCCTTGGCCGCATCCCCCATCATGTCCCAGTACTCTCCAAACTCCAGCTTGGCCTCGTCAGGGTCTCCCATGCATTCGATCTTCTCATCCAGCGGTCCAACACACTGCAGCGGGGGCGGAAGAAAGCATCGGGGTCATGGGGCTGCGGGGTCCCGCAGGCAGCCCGTGCCCACCCCAACTCCCCCTGCCCATTGCCAGGCTCTGCCCTCACCTTCCCCAGGTGGGGCAGCTTCTGGACCACCAGCTCCTGCATCTCGTTGGGCGTCAGGTACTCCTTCTGCCCCTTCACTGCATAGCAGTGGAACTGGTTGATGACGGTCTCAATGGCCCGCTCCACATCAGTGAGCTCCTGGCAGTCCTGCACAAGGGAGAGAGGGTGAGCACCAGTGGGACACCTCCCCGGATGGATGGGACATCCCCTAGATGGACAGGACAAGCCCCCAGGTAGATGGGATGCTCCCCGAGCAGATGTGCCAGTGCTCTCTGCAGATGTTCAACCCCTCCACAACGATGTGATAAACCTCCTTATCAACATGATAGCCCTCTGTACAGATGTGAGACCCCCTCTACAGATGTAAGACCTCACTGTACAGATTGGAGACCCCCATACAGATGCAAGACCACTCCATATAGATGTAAGACCCCACCGTACAGACATGAGAACCCACCACACAGATGTTGCGTCCCTCCATACAGGCTCTGCCCAGCTGCAATACCCCCCTACAGCTGACATACCCCTCCACCTCGATGTGACACCCCTCCCTGCAGGCATGTCACCCCCTGTCTCTGCTTGCCCAGACTTCTCCCTGCCTGGGGCCAGCAAGGCTTAGCCACCCCGGCGTCTCCAGGCGCTACACCCACGGCGCGCGGGGGCTGCTGCGGCCGTCCGGACTGGTTCTTCCTCTCCTTTGCACAAGTGGTGGATGGCGGCATGAGTCAGTGCCCAGGACGACTCAGGCACCCACCAGGATGGGACTTGGTGGTGGCAGGAGCCCCTCTCCCTCCCTGTCAGGCCTGCAGACCCCTTCCCTGGCAGAGTGGGGGGCAGAGACTGGCCCGACCCATGCACCCGACTGCCAGCCACTTGTGCTAATTAGCCAAAGCTTCGTTTGAAGGGAAACAATGGTGATTCACTCAGCATCTGCGGTTTTCCCTTAAAACACTATTAAACCACATCAGGCGATGCCCATTAGGAAGAACCCAGCAATCTTCAGAGCCTCAGCCCAGTGCCCCAGCTCAGCCAGACAGGGCCAAATCCTCCACAGGTGCAAAGGGGAGTGGGGTGGGCACCTCCCATTTGAAAGCCGAGGAAAACAGGAGACTTTCTCTTGTTGGGCGTCCTTGGAGAGGTTGCAAGGAGCAAGTGCAGCTCTGGAAGGTGAGTCCAGAAGGGAGCTGAAGAAAGCTTCCTGGTTCCCCGAGCTTTCAAGCGGCTCCAAGCCTGCAGCACCAGGTCCCCCTGCCCAGCACCAGGGCAGCGTCGCCAAACCCCAAAACAGCCCCCTGGCTCCTCCGCTGGAGTCTGGCTCCAGGATGGGGCTGGCCTGGCTGTGCTGCTTTGAGTCACCCGGTGCCTAGGGCTGTGCTCTGAGGGATGGGGCCATGCAGGGTCACCCCTGCATGCCACACCCCACTGGGGGTCCCAGCCCTCCCAGTGCCGCAGCATCACACGTGGACCTTGCGCTTCTTGCGGCAGTTGCACTGGCCCATGCTGCTCCTTGCAGGGTCTGTAGGTCCTTGGTGGCAGCAGTGGTGGGGCTGTCCTCTCCGACGGGGTCTTGGGGAGCTGGCGGGGGAAGAAATCCAGGCTCAGCTCTCGGCTTGGGGGGAGTTTCCCCTCCTTTGGCGCCGGGACTGAGTGCAGGGTGAGGAAGGAGCCCTGGGATGCGGTGAGCTGCCGGGACACGTCCCAGCGGCAGGAGCGTCCCTGCTCCAGCAGCAAGTCATGGCAGAGCCGAGCGTGGGAGCAGAGGGCGTGCAGAGGGGTGGCGGGACCCCTGGGTGCGGACCCCCATCCCACAGTGGTGGATGGGCCACTTACCTGCTCCACGGGCTCTCCTGGGTCTGCGCGGGCTGTGGCGCGCTGGGGTTTTATACCACGGGGAGGTGTGAGTGGGAGCTCCCTGTGCGCCGCCAGCTGTGGCGTGGTGCAAGGCGTCTCATTCTGGAGCCTGGCTCAGGGCCAGCGTGGGGCTGGGAAACGCCTCCTTCCCGGCCACATTGATGGTTCCCCATCCGGCCCAGCACGGCACAACCATGCAGCACCGCGTGGGAACAGCCACCTGGGCACTGGGCCCCGGCTGGCTCAGGGATGGGTCAGCCCATGGTGGAGATTTTACCATTTCCCAGCAGCACAGGTATTTAGGAACTGAACACTGGGAATGGGAGCTCGGTTAGGGGTGCTGAGCTGGGGATGTGCTGTGCCAGCAGACACATCCCCTCATGCCACCCAAGACCCCAGAGAGGATGGGCATTGATGCCATGGAGGTGGCAACCAGTGCAGCATCGCGGCTGGAGATATTCCTGAGCCCCACCCTGGTCCCAGCCACATCTCTGCCACCCATCAGGGTTGCACTAAGCAACCCCACAGCCCAGCAGGAAGGCGTTTGTGGGGCACAGGGTGGCACCCCGCAAGCCAGACCAGCGCAAGGGCAATTTTGGAATGGCCCTATCCATCATAGGTTCCCCACAGCAGCCACCCCAACGCAGAGTGAGCCCCAAACCCCCACTTGTGGTGCTGGGCTGGTCCCTGGGCACAGTGTGGCCATGGGCAGATGCAGGCAGGGGAGAAGATGGGCTGTCCAAATTAGTAGCCCTCCACTAAGAACAGCAGTGATGCTCAGGCTCAGGAAAACCTCTTTTATTAGCTCCATGTCGGCTGAGTCTCCCCACCAGCCCCGTCACTTCTTCTTCCCTGCTTTCTCCCTCCGCATGGCCTTTGCCAGCTCCCCGATCAGCCGCCAATACTCGCCGAATTTCAGCTCCTCATCATTGTTCACATCCAGCTCGCTCATCTTCTCCTCCAGGGAGGGGACGTCCTGTGAGGAGGACAGGGGAGGCTCAGCCAGATCCCAGTCCCTGGTGAACGGGATGGGGACCGGGGCAGGGAGCAGAGTCTGCCACTCGCTCTTGCTTGCAAATCCCACAGTACCAGGAGCAGCCCCCCCAGCTCAGGGGCACCCATGGGGATCCAGCCACCCCCCCAGCTGCCCCACACACGCTGCCCCTCGCCTCACCCTCATCAGGTTGGGCAGCTGGAGCTGGACCAGCTCCTTGAACTCGCCAGCTGTCAGCATGCCTTTCTTGCCCTCCTTTGCCGCATAGGTGAAGAAGACAGTAACGATCTTCTCAATGGCCGTCTCCAGCTCAGTCAGTTCGCCCGTGGCCATGGTGCTGGTGCACGGCAGCGGCCTGGGGCTGCAGGGAGAGGAGCTGAGATGTGGTCGGAGGCGAAGTGGCGTCCTGGGGAAGTGATGCCCAGGGTGTGTCAGGAGAAGGGGACCTTTTCCCCTTCCCTAGCACAGAGCGCAGTGAGTTGCAAGGTCTCAGCTCAGCTCTGCGAGGCTGAGCAGGGTCCCGGGGCTGAGGGCTGCCCCACTGTTCCCTAGGGACCAAGCACTTCAGCCAGGCCCTCCCTGGCTGGCGCGGGGAGGGGGGGCAGAGGCTGAAGACACGGTGGCCAGGGTGGGGCCAGTGCTGCAAGCTGCAATTCCCTACTTACCCCCCTCGCCTGCAGGCAAAGAGCTACAGGCAGGTTGTGGCCCCCCTGGAGGTTTTATACTCTGAGCAGCAGGAGGGGAGAGCGCAGCACTTTGTCCGCAGTGCCACGGTGTTGGGTTTCCTGTTGCAGCCGGACGGAAGCACAGACACCGCCCGGGTGCAGAGACGTCCTCCTCTCCTCCCTCCCCACGCGGGCAGTAGACCAAATTCAGCATTCGGCCCCACTGTTGTGAACCTGGCCTGGCCGCCATGGCACCGCCTGGGCTCTGCTGCTGTGGGGATGCTCCAGTGGGGAGCAGGATGGGACCACGGGGCAGAGGGGAGAGATGTGGGACAACAGAGCGGGTTTGTTCTGGCTGGAGCATCTCGCAGGGCTTGAGCATCATCCAGACCTTTCCAGCAGTGTGGGACAGGTCTCACCCCCAAATGCATCCCTGCAGGGACAGGGTTGCACTGAAGATGGGGATGTGGTCCCCAGTGCCCTGCTGACGTCCCACCATGCCCCAACATGGCAGCTCATTCCGACCCACGATCCAGCGGCACTGCAGACCCAGGGCCGGGCTCAACCCGCACCGAGTGAGAGTTGTGACTCAGCCACCCGCTGACATCAACCCTATTAATAGTGGGCTTTGTAAAAATTAATTAATCCAAATTAATTAGGGGTTGGAACTGCCTGAGCGTTCCCCTTTAATCATTGTGTATTTATAACATGGCAGCCCTGGCAGGTTTCCACCTGGGAGATGGAGCAGCTCCGCACCACAGCACCGCCGTTCCCACGGGCCCCCAAGCCACATCCCGCATCCTGGCACCATGCCTTGGCCCCAAACAAACCCCATGTGGTGCCCACGGCACAGCCCCGGAGAGAGGCAGTGGGGATGCCAGGGGCGGCGGCAGCGTGGGATGGGGGTGACATTGGGGGACTGCCTCTGCCTGGAGCATGGCAGGGATATCCCTGATTGCCAGCCACCCAATCCCTGCATGCCATGGGGGCTGTATCCCAGCATCTCCATGGCAGCGTGACATTGAGCATGACAGGGAGCAAGGCTGGGGTGAGCCCCCCTGGGACAGTACATGGGAGTGGGGTCCCAGGGAGCCCAGCACAGCCTGGAAACCCCCCACCAGCAGTGTTTTGGGGGGTCCCCATCGCAATGCCACCATCACCAGCCCAGTTTCTGCTGAGGCCTGATGCACTCACTCCACCTCTACACAGGGATGGGGAGGCTCCAGCCTACACCAGGCAGCCTGGTCCCCACCCCACACCCATCACACCAGCTCACGGGGGAGGAATTGGCTTCCTGCAGCCCCATCCGGCCCATCCCCCTCCCTGGGATGACGGGGGGACGGGGATGGGACTTCCGCTGAGCCCCACGTCAGGGGACCAAGATGGTCTCTTGGGAAACCACTGGGGTGAGTCAGGCTCGGTAGGGACAGGGACAGGTTTGGAGTGAATCACTGGCCCCGAGAGCCAGGCGGGCCCATGACTCGCCACCCCTGGAATTCAGGGTGCCGGGATGGGGTGAGGAGGCAGCAGGCACTGCAGTGGCCCTGCGACAGGAGGCGGCCAAATCACAGGTGGCAGGAGAAACGGCACCTCCCGGTAGAGCCCAGGATGCCCGCTCAGGGCTGTCCCCATGGGCAGGGAGCAGTGACCTGGCCTCAGGGACCCCAGCGCTACTGGAAGGGGGCAGAGCATGGCAGGACCCCATGTGCTGGGGTGAGAGCTCAGGATCAGGGTGGAGGTGCATCCCAGGGGGTTGGCACCTACCTCCATGTCCTGGTCCTGGTGTTGTCCCCAACCTGCCTTGGTTGGGGACCCCAACCAGGGACAGTCACTGTGGCCACCATGGATGCCAACTCGGCAGCAGTCCACACCAGCCCACCACACCTAACAGGGCTTGCTGGAGGGGAGCATGGCTTTGAGGCTGCAAAACCAGGTGCCCAGTGCCATCGTGATGCCCCCGGCCCTGGCACAGCAGGTGCTCCGCAGCTCCCCCTACTCCAAACCAAACCCCGGGAACGGAAAAGCCTCTTCCGTGCTCCAGCGATGGGACAGAGACAAGATCGGCCCAGCCCCAGCACCAGCAACTGGAGCAACTGGTTTAGCTGGGTCAAAGTGGAGCATGGGGAGTCGCAGTGGCTGAAACCTGTTCCAAGATGTGTGTAAACCTCCTGGCATGTCCCTCACTGCTCCTGGTTTGGTAAGAGCTTGTCCTGGGGATCTGCCAGCACTGACACGCCGGGCGTGCTCTCCCCATGGCCGGCACCGCAGCGGCAGGGAGAGGGGCCGCGGCGCCCAGGGCCGACCCCTCTGGCGCCCACACGACGGCCCTGCAGCATTGGGGTTTACCCTTGGGCACCCAGCTCCAGCTGGTCTCACCCCTCAGGAAACGCCTGGCAAAATCCTGATCTCTGGGAAGGTTTGGGGTTTAATAAGAGTGGGGCAGAGCCCCTCCAAGTGCAGCCAGAGCCCTTAGGGAGCTCTGCAAAGTTGGGCGGTTGGACACGCTGGCCATGCCAGTGCCCAGGGCACGGCAGCCCCGGCTCTGTGCCCACTGCGGAGACCAGGGTTGGGTTATTTTTAAGCTCAGGACTGGACAGCAATGCGTGTTCCCGTCACAGGCAGCTGCTGCCCAACTGGGCAGGCAACGCAGCCCAGGGGCCAGGCTTTCCCAGAAGGGGAAGCCAGATCCTGCCTGGTGCCGAGCCACGCTGGGGACAGGGGTACAGGGGCTCCGCTGCCACCAGCCCCCACACAGACACTGCTGAGTGAGTGCCACCAGGGTCCTTTCCCATTGCCCCCTGTCCCCAGGCTCTGGATCCGGCCCCTCCTGGAGCTCACCAGCCCCAGGCCCCCTCCTTGCCCCACACCAAAAATGGAAGCTGTGTCCTGCTGAGAAGCAGCTCCTGGGCTTTCATCCGGGACCCCCCTTACATCCAGTACCCCCATTTCCAGCCAGGGACCCCCCCTTTGCAGCCATCTCAGCTGCCCCAGGTGCAGGACAGGGTCTGAACCCTCAAGACCCTGCACATCACCCCAAACCCTCCAGCCCCCCCCCCAAGCCACCCCCTCCAGCACAGGGCAGTGGTGGTGGGGTAGCCACATGGGGTCGGGTAACTGGGTAGCAGGGTCATTTGGGGGTTCCCAGGTTGGGGGGGGTGCCATGCAGCTGTGGCGTTTCCCAACTGTGGGGACAGGAAGTGCGGGAGATGGAAACGAAGGGAGCAGGATATAATTAGCCGCAAATTAGGACTGGAATCCGGGATAAAGAGCCCGGCACCGCCCGGCTCTTGCAAAAAGCCATGCTGCCACATCGGCAGCTCCCCAGAAGCCCCCCTGCACCAGCAGCAGGGGAGGTCCCAAAAAGGGGGAATGATTGTGCCCGTCTGAGTTTGGGGGCTCAGCACCACTGTCGTTCCCCCGGGGATGCTGGTGCTGGGGAGGCAGCGGTGGGTTTGGTCTTACACTGCCCCAACTGCACGGATGCAGGGCTGTAACGAGAGCCGCAGTGGAGCCAGGATTATCAGCATCAGTGATGCCAGCTCAGGAATCTGGTTTCCTAGCTGAGCCGTTGCTGGAGCAACCTCCGGGCTGGAATTGTGGAGCTTTTTTAATTTGACAAGAGGCCTTTCTGTGTGCAGGGAGCGGGCAGCCCCGGGGGGCCTGGGCTGAGACACCCGATAGCTCCAGCTGGCTCCCATAGCGAGGACACCGGATACCCGCACCTTATCAGCCTGGGGGAGGAGGGCTGGGGACGGATCCGACATGGCACCATGGCGCTGACAGATGGGGGATGCCGGCGGGCGCCGAGCGGGTGACGCCACAGGGTCAGACCCCGGGCGCCGCGGTGCCACGGGGGCCACAGCTGCGAGCAAAGCCAGAGCCCGGCACATGGGGCTGGCAGGCAGAGCCGGCCGGGGGGTGGCCCCACCGAGGGACCCCCCTGCCCACCCCACACATCCCTGTGCCCCCAGCATCCCGCTGCCCCACGGGGCCACAGTGGGGCCAGCCTCAGGCATGGGGATGGCAAAAAGGAACACCCGAGATTTAGCATAGGGAGGGACATGGAACCCCCCAAAGTAACTCTTGGCATCACTGCCCACCACCACCCCGTAAGCACCTGATACAAGATGTAAAACATCTTGTACCGGTGGGGCTAGAAACGCTCCTCTGCGTCATCCTGGGGCTGGTGCGAGGCAAGCGGGGCAGCGGGGCACTGTGGGTTTGGGCTCCCCACATTCCAGCCCCCCATGAAGGCGGCACAGGGCAGCCCAGCGGTGCCAGCCGGGCTGTCCAGTGCAGGTATCGGATCCTCCCGGAGGGAGGGGGCTTGGAGCTTATTTAACATCCCTGGCTGGCCCAGCCCGGAACACTCCGAGCAGCAGGCGGGCAGTGCAGCTGGGAGCTCAGGTGAGCGCAGGTCCCGGCCAGGGCACAGCTGCCCTGAGAGGGGGCAGGCGGCCGGGGCCCCCTCCCACAGGAGCACCCCATGCAGCCCTGGGAAGCAGCGGGGTGCCCTGAGACCCTCACAGCCCCTGGCTGTCTGCCCGGCACCAAGTATTCAGAGTGGAGGCCACAGCATGCGACGGTCGCTGGCAGGGGACAGGGCAGGGGTGGCTCCGATTTGGGGGCTGCTCCTCATGGCAAGGGGGGCTGGCAGCTGCCCCCCGTAACACGGTGGATGCCTCCCCGCAGCCAGAGCCATGGTGTCGCAGCTGGAAGGGGCCATGGAGACGCTCATCAACGTCTTCCACCACTACTCGGGCAAGGAGGGGGACAAGTACAAGCTGAGCAAGAAGGAGCTGAAGGAGCTGCTGCAGAGCGAGCTGGGCTGCCTCCTGGAGGTAGGGACCAGCCATGTTGGGGAGCAGGGGCTGGGGGGTCCCCCTTTCCCTCCGTGCCCCGGGGCAGCAGCATCCCAGCGGGCTGCCAAGCCCCGGGGCTCAGCCTGTCACCCCACACACACACACAGACCCAGAAGGACACAGGTGCCGTGGAGAAGATCATGCAGGACCTGGATGAGAACGGCGACGGGGAGGTGGACTTCCAGGAGTATGTGGTCCTGGTGGCCGCCCTCACTGTGGCCTGCAACACCTTCTTCTGGGAGAACGCCTGACCCAGGCTGGTCTCCACCCTGCAGCAGCCAGCCATGGCGTCCCCAAAACCCCGGCCCCCCCCCCCCCCCCCCCCCACCTCACCCTCCGCTCCCCAGCACACCCAGGGGATCCCACTGGGATCCAGCTCCACAATAAAGGCACTGACCCAGCCAGAGGCGTGTTGTCAGCTCCTTCGTTTCCAGGGTTGGGGTTTCTGCCCTGTCCCCCTACTAGTACCCCCGGGGATACCAGGGAGCTTTCCCTCTCCTAAGCCACAGGGTCACAGGGAAAAGCCACCCTGGGTCACCCCAAGCACCTGGAGACATTCCCGTCTGCACCTTGCTTTGGTTGCTCCATCACACCCTGCACCCCACCCTGCCCCTGAGCCTGGCATCAATCCCGAATCATGCCAGGGCACAGCACAGCTGGGGTGGGTGACCCCAGCCTGCACTGGGGTGTTGGGGTGCAGGACATGGGGGTGCAACATGGGGGCATGGGGGTCCGGGGGGGGGGGCCACAGGCCGGGACTCGTTGCCTGTCCCGCCAGAGGCGCAGGCACCGCGCCCCGTGGGCTGGAGAAACCGGTTCTGATCTCCTCCCACGGCGGGCCTCCAGCCAGCAGCACCCGGCCCGGCCCGGCCCCGCACGAGGCCGCCAGCGCCATCGTCTGCCGGGGCTGGGACCGGCCCCGGTTCTCCCCAACCACCCCTCACGGCTCTGGCCCCTCGACCCACCCGGTCGGGCCCCAGACGGGGGCTGCCCCGGCAGAAAACGAGGACGCACCGGGAACAGCCAGGTCACAGGCCCAGGCCGGCGGCGGGGGGACCGGAGACCCCGGGAGGCCTCCTCAGGTCTTCGGCGCCTCCGACCCCGCCCAGGACAGGCCCCGCTGGGCGGCCTCTGAGGGATCGGCCCCGGTACATGCGCCCACCGGCTCCTGATCGCGGGGGGAACAGGGGCCCGGGCCCGCTGGAACCCGGCCAGGCCGCACCGTAGCCGGTGCCG